ATATGTATAATTACATATAAATCTATGCGTACCCAGATAGAAATGCGTGATGATCACGTTTCATCATAATGTGATATCATACTGTGATTTCACCTTGATACCTTTTTAAAGATCATTATGTGATTAACATGATATGAGCACAAGATGTATACAAATGATATACGAATATGTCTAGTCTATCAAGTTTTGTTATCATAATATTATTAGATGAGATATTTTTCTGATCATCATTACATGAACGACATATGAGCAGCATATGCGCACGCATTTGTATGCATTTTTGCAATCATCCACGTCAATATATGAGCGCGTGCTGAGCGCAACATGACATCATTTTTCTATCTGGGTAATTATATAAAATTATATATTAATTTATATATATAATTATACATGATTATATATATAAATAGAATGTATAAACATGAATGGACAAATTTGATATATAATAATATATAATTATGTACAATTATATATAATTTTATATAATTGTATATAATTATGTATGAAAAATTTTTTATTGGGAAAACAGCAAATTATAATAAAAACAAGAAATTATAGCTGAAGGGATTGATAAATTGACAGCGCCCGATAATACAAACGAAGTTAGTATATATATATAAGGTGTAGTAAAAAGAAATCCATTATTTTTCCAATAGATGGCTTTAGTAATGTGTATCTCGCGTTGTATAAGTGCGATAGGTTTACGCTAGATGGCGTTAGAAAGATAAGATTTCGTACTAAAAAAACTTCTCAGACAGTTTTGTGATTGTTTGACTCAGTATTGTTTGAGCGCGCGTCAAAGATGGACACCAGCAAAAAGAAAATACGCCATATTTTACAGTTTTTCTTCGATAAAGGCGAAAACGCAAGCCAGGCGGCTGAAAATGTGAATAGTGTTTATGGTCCTGATACTGTAACAGCCAATCACGCGCAATTTTGGTTTCGTCGATTCCGTTCCGGTAATTTTGATGTCAAAGATGCACCACGCTCTGGAAGGCCAATTGTCGAAAATGTCAATAAAATAATGGAAATCGTCGAGTCCAACCGTCATGTAAGCACTGTTTCGATTGCCCAGGAGCTAAACATTGCACAAAAAACCGTTTGGAACAACTTGAATAAGGCTGGATACAAAAAGAAGCTCGATGTATGGGTGCCACACAAGTTAACGCAAAAAAACCTCATGGACCGAATTTCCATCTGCGAATCGCTGCTGAATCGCAACAAAATCGACCCATTTCTGCAGCGGATGGTGACTGCTGATGAAAAGTGGGTCACTTACGACAACGTCAAGCGAAAACGATCGTAGTCGAAACGCGGTGAGCCGGTGCAAACGGTGGCCAAGCCAGGATTGACGGTCAGGAAGCCTTTGCTGTGTGTTTGATGGGATTGGCAGGGAATCATCCACTATGAACTACTCCCAAACTCTTAATTCGGACCTGTACTGTCAACAATTGGACCGTCTGAAGGAATCAATCGCCCAGAAGCGGCCAATAGGAGAGGAATTGTGTTCCATTAGGACAACGCCAGGCCACACACATCGATAGTGACTCGCCAGAAGCTCCGGGAGCTTGGTTGAGAGGTTCTTATGCATCCACCTTATAGACCGGACCTGGCACCAAGTGATTACCACCTGTTCCTGTCTATGGCGAATGATTTTGCTGGTGAAAAATTCGCCTCAAGAGAGGCTTGTGAAAATCGACTGTCCCAGTTTTTTGCCAATAGGGATAAGAGTTTCTATGAGAGAGACATAATGGAATTACCTTCAAAATGGCAACAAGTTATCGAACAAAACGGTGCATATTTGACCTAAATCGGATCATTCTAACTATGCTAAATAAAGCCTTCAATTTCATGCAAAAATAATGAATTTCTTTTTACTACACTTTATATTATATATGGTCAGCATATTTATATAGGTTATAACCTATAGGCTACTCTGTGTATCTTATTTATTTATATTAAATTGATTAACTTTTTCGTCTTATGTATTTTTTTCGTCTTTAATAAATACATCGCTGCAATTGCAGCAGCTATATGTCGTCTTCGAACTTCACCTATAATCGCCACTGTACATCTATAATATTTTATATATCTCGATTATAACACTCCATTTTTATACTTATTGCAGTTTATACAGGAGGTTAAACGTGGTGAATGGGATATGGGCGACAGCGAACAGCTTTTAAACGCTGCTTTGAACAACGATGGAGTGGGGTAAAACGCCAACTTTTATTCGCTGCGTGAAATCGCATCTTTACCGTGTCCTGTGTGCAGGAGCCACAACGTTACGTTGCGGTTATGGGCTGCCATTGATTGTTTTGCAACAAGAGACACAAGTCGACATAAACATCATTCTATCTTTGTTCCACATTTAGTAAGAACAAGGATGATACTTGTGTCGACTTGTGTCTCTTGTTGGAAAGCAACCATTGTAGACTATACGGGTCGATTTCTTAAGTTTACGGTTAAGTTAAGGTTACAAATCCTTATTGTACTCGCACCTATATAACCATGGACCGCTAGTCGCTATCTTCCCAGCAAACACAGAATATAACTGTGATATAACACAGGAATAACATGTAATATAACTGCTGTTATACATTATTAATATTGAGGTTACTTAATTTCCTTTATAACTGCGATATAACTATGTTATAAAACTGTTATGTTATTATGTTATTTACATTGTTAAGTTACATAAACAATATAACAGCAACATAACTTCAATATAACATGTAATATAAGAAGTCTAATGTTTGCATTACATTTCAGTGCAATATTTTTATACGCAAATGTGAAATTATATTTTAGGTGTTTCTCGTATATAAAATGTGATATTTTAATATATGCAAGGATCACAATATTGTAAAACTAGAGTTCTTACAATCTGATCATAACCTTATGGCTCCTGCACACAGGACGGGGTAATGCTTGCCGCGCGGCGGAAGTCCGCGCGACAGCCAATCAATATGTTGTTTTTCCGTAAGAGCTAGAGGGTTATTACGGAAAGCAGCATATTGATTGGCTGTCGCGCAAACTTCCACCGCGTGGCAAACATTACCGCGTCCTGTGTGCAGGAGCCATAAGAAGTAACATAAGAATTGATCAATCATGTTGAGAATCGTCGAAACGTAAGGTCGCCATGTTTATGAATATTCGATCACAATTGATCAATTCTTACGTTACGTCTTACGGTTACTGTTACGAAAAGTGTGAGTAGACAGCTTTAAAGCCCATTCTACAATTGCGTGAACGTGGATGTAAGTGGTTGTAAGTGATTACGACAACCAATCAGAGTAAAGCAATCAGTGAATAAAACATTCGGATTGGTTGACTCTTACGTTCACGACTACGCTTACGCAATTGTAGAATGGGCTTAAGAGACGCCGCACACGAATTAACATAACAGTAACGTAATACGTACCGTAAAAATGGACCAATTAAGGCCATCACACAAAATTCCGTAAGAACTTAAATCGTAATCGTAAGGAAATCGATCAATCCCAATCGAGTATTCGGCTCTTCGTAATAATGGAGGGGTTACGAAAAGCCGAGTGATCGATTGGGATTGGTCGATTTATTTACGCTTACGTTTCAAGTTTTTACGGAATTTTGTGTGTGATGGCCTTTACAATCGAGTATTCACAAAAATGGCGACATTACGGTTCGACGATACTCAAAGTGATTGGTCAATTCTTACGGTACGTCTTACGTTACTGTTATGTCAATTCGTGTACGACGTCCTTAAGGCCTGTTCTACAATACATCGTACGTCACAGTCGTATGTTGGAGTGCAGCCGATGGGCCAATCAGAATTTGTTTCTCGAGACAAATTCTCTTTATTATACCACTGATTACGTTCCGACATACGACAGCGATATACGGCTGAGTTCCCACTTAGCGCGTCACGCGTCGTGTAGTCCTTCATGGATCAATCAAATTGTCTCATTTTACTCGTCGTAAAGTTAGGCAATAAAATGGGACGATTTGATTGGTCCGCGAAGGACGACGCGCGGATGACGCGTTAAGTGGAAACGCAGCCATACGGCTGAGTTCCCAATTTGCGCGTCACGCATCGCGTGGCCCGTTGCGGACCAATCAAATCGTCTTATTTTATTGCCTAACTTTACGACAAATAAAATCGGACGATTTGATTGGTCCACGAAGGATGACGCATGTGTGATGCGCTAAGTGGGAACGTACCCGTACGACGTATTGTTGAACAGGCCTAAAGATGCGGGTCCAATGGTCCGTAAACATATCCGTATCCGTAACCATAAATAAAATCGAGTCCTGATTGGTCGTGATATATATTACGACCAATCACGTGTGACTTGGCCTTAAAGACCAAATCACACTAGCGATTGGCGATTGATGATTGACGATTGAAGATTGGAACTTGACCAATTGAAACAAAGCAACTAAAGTTGAAGTTCGTTGATTCGTCAAAATCTAATCTTCAATCGTCAATCGTCAATTGCTAGTATGATTTAGCCTTTAGCACCATTAATGCTTCTGATTGGCTGTCGCAATAAGAATTGCGTCTGCTTGCGATCGGCTTGCAACTAATGTAGAACGACCTTTATAGATGGTCCTTTGCTCTGTATGTAATTTCACCCTAACGACCGATTGAATTGTGCGGTGCCGTGGTAGTAGCGTTTCCGGCGGAACAGCATTGTCGCAGATGATCACGTGATCGAGGATCGACTTCTTCGTTTGTGGCCACGAGGTTTTGTGGTGAAAATTAAGTTTACCGGGTGGAAAAGGCCCCCTATTTTTGTAGTTATACAAAAATGCCCTCCAGCAACCCGTTGCCACCCAAAGAAAATGCCTTGTTTAAGCGAATCCTGGTGAGTAACGACTGATGAAAATACTCTGTTTTGGACCCCACTCTCTAGCTAATAGGATGCACTCATCGGCTCTAATGATAAAGCATTCTTTGGGAATAAAAACGGGAAAAATTCACTGGCGACCGCGGCACGCGGCGGCGTACTCAGCATGACGATTGAAAAACCATCACACCCGGTGACACTCCGCGAAAATCGACACCGCCGGTCGCGCACAAACGCGAAATCGAACCTAGCAAATTAGGAATGGAAATCACCCACAAAAGGCTCTATGTAGACTGTGATGTATTTTTATATGGTTTTTCTTACAGAGGTGTTACGAGCACAAACAATACAAAAATGGGTTGAAATTCGCGAAGCAGATCCTGTCAAATCCCAAGTTCAGCGAGCATGGAGAGACCTTGGCGATGAAAGGGCTCACTCTGAATTGCTTGGGTCGTAAAGAAGAAGCGTATGATCATGTGCGGCGTGGCCTCAGAAATGACCTACAGTCCCATGTTTGTTGGCATGTTTACGGTCTCCTACAGCGGTCAGACAAGAAGTACGATGAAGCAATCAAATGTTATAGAAATGCACTCAAGTGGGATAAGGATAATATTCAGATTCTCAGGGATCTGTCGCTGCTTCAAATACAGATGAGGGATCTGGAGGGCTACAAGGTAAATATCCCAAAGAGTAAGTTACTTCATTTAGTATACTTACTTTCTCATATACTGAACAATATTGCAATGCTATATGATGTGAATGGAATTTATTTAGATTTGTATTGTATATCAACTTGTTATTTTTTTGTTACTTTCCTCTAGGATACCAGATATCAGTTGTTCATGTTACGTCCTACTCAACGAGCTTCTTGGATTGGTTTTGCCATTTCATACCATTTGTTGAGAGATTATGAGATGGCGTTGAAAATTTTAGATACCTTTCGGAACTCTCCAATGGTATGTTATACATATATCATATTTTGGTTTGTCTGTCAATGAGAGATAATTAATGTGATATAAGGGGGAATTCATACCTTGACAGAAAAACAGAAAGGCAGAAACCAATCAGAACTTGCACTGATATAAAAGCAAAAACTGTTGACTATTGTTTGATCACCAGTCCAGATCCTGATTGGCTTCTATCTTTCTGCTTTTCTGCTAAGGTATCAATTCTCCCTAACAGAGACGTTTGTGAAATGTGCAGATATGTTATGATTACGAGCATAGTGAGTTGCTGCTGTACCAGAACATGGTCATCCAGGAATCAGGGGAAAGTGAACAAGCATTAAAACACTTAGACAAGTACAGTGATCAAATCTGCGACAAGGTTACTGTGAAAGAGATTTATGGTAAGTATGCAACACCACATTATGTGTATTTGTGTTGCTACTAGTTGGAATCTCGCTGCTCGTATGTTCCTCACACAATCCTGTTTCTCTTCAGGTAAATTGAGACTCCAATTGAATCAGTATGTGGAAGCAGAACAGGTGTACAAGGAGCTGTTAGATATTAATCCGGAAAACACGACGTATTATATTAGGCTAGCAGAGGCTGAGAGACATACTTCGCCGAGTGAAACATTGCATATGCTCCAAAGATACGAAGATTTGTTTCCTCGTGCGTTAGCGCCACGTCGTTTGCAACTCAATTACGCGGCAGGGGATGAATTTAAAACCCTGGTGGACCGATATTTACGAAGAGGTAATTTTTCTTTCTGCATAACATTGGTCTGCAAATTAGAGATCTGATGAGCAGTATGAGAACTTTCTATAATTCCTAAAAGATCTTTTGGTACATTGAATTTAAATCCTGAAGCAAAAAGCATTTGTCACTTCTACATTTTGAGGAAATTGACATTTGATCTCAAAAAACAGGTCATTTTAACAAATTTGCAGCCATTAAGATTATTGTTCTAATAATTAAACATATCCGAATGATTGAAACATTAATAATATATTTGCTTAATGTTTATAAGTAATATATTAATCACTTATATTAATTATATACATATATTTATTAATACATTAATTAATATATTTTTAATATATTAATATATTTATTAATATATTAATTAATATATTAATTATATAAATATATTTATTAATAGTCAATATAAATATTATATATAATAATATATTTATTTAATATATATTTCTATAGAAATCTTTGAGATTTTGTTAAAGGATATTTTTATGCCAATTTGTAATATATTATGTAATGAGTGTTCAATCATTAGGATAATCAATATTATCAAATATTTCGTAAAAATTATAATTGATATTTATTGGTTATTTAATATCCTATTTTTTTTTATTGCTGCCAAAGCAAAGTTTTACATAAATATTTTATTACTAATTGCATTAATTATTTATTAGCAAAAATGTTAAACTGATCGTGTTTTCTTATTAGTTTAGTCATTGATACGTTTATCTTATAACTTTGACAGTACATATAGTTGGCAGGACTCAAAATAAAGCTTTTAGTTAATTCCTTTACTGGAAAAAATATAACTGAAGCTCGCACATCATTATCTGGAATTAAAGGAGCAAAAGTGCCGGAATAAAGTGCAAAACCTTGTTATTAGTATTATTAGTATTATTGCTATAGTTAGAAATTTAAAAAATTGTATAAAAATTTTAGAAAGAACTCTATATATAACTTTTTTCAATAAACCTATTAGCTAAACACTTTATTTTAAGCCCCAATGGAGCTGCTATGTGTACTTCTAAAGTTATAGCAGCTGAACAATCATTAAGAAATGGTCTGTTTTTGACCTTAATTAGGAATCACAGAGAATTCCCATATCATTCATCTAACCTCTGATTTTGCAGACCAGTGTTACTTATGTGAATGACATTTTTTCGTGGTATGTGGCATATATTCAACTTGTGTTTATTTGTATTGTAGGGCTTCACAAAGGTGTACCGCCGTTATTCGTAAATCTTCGCTCGTTATACACTGATAAGCAAAAAGTTGAAATCATATCATCTCTACTTGTGCAATACAAGGAGGCATTAAAACTTCACGGACATTTTAGCGATGAAGAGAAGGATAATCCGAGAGAACCGGCGTCCGCTTTATTATGGACGTATTATTATTTAGCACAACATTACGATTATCTTGGTCAAACGGAAAAGGCGTTGATCGAGATTGACGCTGCCATAGATCATACTCCTACGCTTATAGAACTTTTTGTTACCAAAGGACGCATTTACAAGGTAGGATTTTCACTGACACGCCATTATGTTACGTAATCTATATACACAAAGTCTGCATTAATAGTCATTATTTGTGATTTGTTCTGTGCGATACACTTGAAGTTGGAGTTACCTCGTATCTCTAAAATCAAAGGCCTGCATTAATAGTCATTACTTGAGATTTTTCTCCAGTGAGATACGTAGGTTTGAATTTAGAGTTGGATGTGAGTTTTTGAACTGCAACACGATTGCAATTATAGGCCTGTATTAATAGCTAATACTTGAAATCCATCTTAAAAGAGATATTCAAATTTGAGTTCACATAGTTAGATGAGAGTGTTTCAATTGATTCGCGATTATACAATATCATATATATCATACAGTCAACTGTCTCTCTGGAAAACTTAGATCTAACTTTTAATAAAAAAACTTGTATATCTCACATGAGATGAGTTTCAGACGATAATTATTAATACAAGCCATAATGTCGCGTGTATCATATGACTCAACTAAAAAATTCAAATTTAACTCTAAATTTTGATCCAAGTATCTCACGCAGAACAAGTTGCAAGTAACGACTATTAGTACAGATCATAGTGTCTCACTTGAGATAAGTTTCAAGAAACTAAATGGACTTTATTCTTAACAGCATGCGGGGAACGTCCATGAAGCTTACAAGTGGTTGGATGAAGCGCAAGGCTTGGATACAGCTGACCGATATATTAACTCTAAATGTGCCAAGTATATGCTTCGTGCGAATCTTATTAAGGAAGCGGAGGAGACTTGTGGAAAGTTCACGAGAGAGGGAGTTTTAGCTATGGAGAATTTAAACGAGATGCAATGCATGTGGATCCAAACGGAAGCAGCCTACGCTTATATGCGTCTTGGGAAGTACGGGGAAGCTTTAAAAAAGTGTCACGAAGTTGACAGGGTAAGTTGTACTGTACACATACACACGCGCGCGCATGTATCGTGCGTTCAAGATATCTCGTGGAGTCTGTCGTAACGTGACGCAATTGTTTTTACAGCATTTCTCGGAAATTATAGAGGACCAATTTGACTTTCATACTTACTGCATGCGGAAGATGACGTTACGATCTTATGTCGGCCTTCTGAGGTTAGAGGACGTTCTTCGGGCTCATCCGTTTTACTTCAAAGCAGCGCAGTGTGCAGTAGAGGTCTACCTACGGCTGCACGATTATCCTTTGCCGGATCCAGCGCAAACGCAAGAAATCGACACCGGTGAGTCTTGTTATTTCTTTATATCATATATTTTTCTTCAATCCTTATCGAACGTAGTCTACGCTGGTAGAGCCAAGGATCAATACATTAATCTATTTTATCGATATTTTTTCTTTATCTTTGCGATAACGTTCATTTTATTTAATAAGGAAGAAGTATGAAGCTATTTTCATTTTTATTTTATTAGAAAAAGAAAATTAAAAAAAAGAAAATTTAAAAAATGTAAAGCTTTTAATTTTGTTTGAATTTAATTTAATAAAATAGTCATTTCTCTTTGTTTTAAAAAATATTACGTAACATATACAGAAACATGTACAGTTCCTTTTTCTGATTATATATTTCGACAAATTGCAAACTGTGATCTTTATTAGTATATTTGTGTAATATTTCCGAATAGAAACTGTGGTTTTACGCTAGTTCTAGAAATTGAATTGATCTTAAAGCATCAATGGAGAAATTCAAGACATAACAGACTATTGTTGTCTTTTGATGCTGCAATTAGTTACTTACCGTTTTGTCGAAACTTAAAGAGCAATTTGTTTAAGAATTATTTAATGCTCCGTTATCTTGATTCATGTTAGGGCTTGAAGAATAAATGGGTAAAACAAACTTTCTGCTTTCAAAAACTCATTATTTTTTTTTTTTATATTGAAAATGTCGATAAAACTTGAAGATTCAAAAGAGGTGAAAAGGAAGAAGTTGCAAGCTTCATAGCTGACTATTGTTCTGTTTTGCGTCCTGGGATTAGCTTCTGGAAAAAGTACGAGTCGATCGGCAACGCAACCTTAGTTAGTGATCCCGATAACTTAATAATTCAGTGATTTAACAATTTGATTACCTCGAAAAAACCAGAGTCTTTGAGAACGTTGATTGTTGTAATTTCTCAGACTAATTTGTAATTTTTACAAGCAGAAATAATATATGAAATCATAGTTAGAATGATATGCCCGCAAGGTGTTGATTTTTATGATCACCACGATTACGAGTCTCTCCGTACTCTGAAACAAAAAAACAAGTAAGGAAATTAATCTACAGACTTGCTACTATCGTCTGAAATATGGAAATACAAAACGAGCCATTTTTTTTCAATTAATTTAAGGCGTATAAAAATAAAATTTAAAAAATGGACAAAAATTTTATGTTTATACGTCTTAAATTAATCGAAAACTGGTTCGTTTTACATTTCCGTACTTCAGACGATAGCGGTAAGTCCGTAGATTAATTTCCTTACTTGTTTTTTTGTTTCAGAACACGGAGAGATTCGCAATCGTGGTGATCATGAAAATCAACTCCTTGCGTACATATAATTATAACTATGATTTTATGTATTATTTCTGCTTGTAAAAATTAGAAAGTTTTAATAAAATATGTCTTAATAACTATACGAAGTTTGAGATTTGTCGCCCGTATAGTTTTGGAGAAAAAAATTCGTAAAAAGTGCTAATTTTTGAGACATCAAAATCGAGTTGCCCTCTTAAGTCTCAAACCGTTGAGCGACACATATACCTACATGACGCAAAGTTATTTACAATTTTGTTCCTGATTGAGTGATTTGAACATGTCAGTAGCCATTGATATATTGATAATCGAACTGTCGACAGTATTGCATTAGCTAATGCGCGTTTTTTTTTATCTAATCGTTCGTACCTACACGAGTATTCGTGAGTATCTTGTGCGACCAAGCAGCCAGAAGCACAAAAATTGAATCAGGAAACCAGGACGCAGGATGGAATACATTTCCAGGGGTGTCAAGTTATTTATTACAAAGAATATTACCGATTTTAATGGACATTTGACGAAATTACCGAAAATAAGAAGACATCTGAGTCGGAAATTTAGAATTTACTCTAAGGCCGGCATTCATGGTTCGTTCATTGTGTAAATCATAATTTACTAGCGAATTTTAACTAGCTCATTTTTGTATTGTTTGTGTTTATTACATCTGCAAGAAAAACTATGAGAAATGCATTACATTCACAGAGAAAAATATATTTAAAAATTTATTCGTGGGATGTAAAGTTTATTTATAGAGAAATAAATTTTGTTTCACAGAAATAAATTTTATTTTACTGAAAAAAGACTTGATATCTTACAAATAAACTTTTAAGTATTTTTTCTCAGTGTATATTAAGAGAAAAAATATCTAAAAGAAATAGTAAATATTTATTTGGTGGGAACTAATAACATATTTCCTTAAGTCTAAATTCTTTTATTTAAATAAAATAATTAAATAATTTATGAAAAATTAAGATTTTCTTAAGATTTTAAGAAAATGTATATTTTCATATTTGAAAAATATGTTATATATTAATATAAGTAAACATATTTTATTATATACATATGTATAATATCTATCAAATAAATATTTATTATATTTTAGATATTTTTTTCTCAGTGTAGGAGTTTGGTGATTTCTATTCTAATTTGATAAATAATCACAAGTTTATGAATCTCAGATTATTCGTTAATGTGTAATACTTACATTATACAACAGGATTTCTTGATCCAAACAACCGAATAACGGTCCGCGAATAGGAATCTATAATTAATTATACTCTCAATCAAAGTGATTGTAGATAAATTATGACTATGAATATAGTCAAATCTCGTAAATGCCGAAATTTGTTTTTCTAAAAATATTCCTTGAGAAGTAAGTTTTATTTTGAATCTGCCAACATCTTATTTTCTTCCGTTCCTCGCTTCCGTTTAGCCTTGTCACTATACTGAGTCCAAATTTAAAATCGTGTTTACACAACTGCTATCTTTAGTCTTGCAACTACTTCCTACTCATTCGTCTTGAGCATCCAAATTCTATCGAAATTTACAACGCCAATTGAAAAAAAGTAACAGATTACGAAAAGAGAAAGTTTGTTGGTATTACCTATTAATCCTATTATTATCTATATTATTTCATGTTTGCTTATCATACATATCCATTTACAATTGAGTAGGTTACATGATTAATATATCGTTTATCGAAATCAAGAACAAATATATAAACAGGATATTGAGGTAATCGAATATTAAATAATTTTCAAATAAGTGCTTTTTCAACCCTTAACATGAAGAAGACAGTAAATAAAAACAATCATTTGCAGCATCAAATTAAAGTAATAATCTGTATGATGTTATATCTCAAGCTTCTCTATTGATCCTTCAAATTCGACTACATTAGCAGAATTAATGTAGAACTAAAATTTCGATTTAAATCGATTTCGATTCAGTTTATCGGGACGACGCAATTTACAGAAAAAAGGTAGAGACACGTATAGATAGTTAATAACTTTGTACCACACTAATACGTACAAAAGATTTTTCAAATATTTGAAGCGAACAGACGCGCTAATACCTATTATTATTCTCCCTGTTACCGTCTTTAATTTTATTTTACTTCATTTAACGTAACAGTGGATATTGAGGAGAGTTCGCGAAAGTTCGCGATTTCGCGAAACGATTCCGCAATCTACCGAGCACGCCCGCACGTGATGAACGATCAAAGCAGCAATATACGTAATATTTACACTTGTAATCCCATTCACTAATCACAGACAATGTGCGAATACGCGACGGTCGGTAAGGATAATATATATTGAGAAAAAAATACTTAAAAATTTATATAGGGCATGAAATTTATTTATAGAAATAAACTTTATTTCACAGAAGTAAACTTTATGTTCCACAAATAAATTTTCAAATATTTTTCTCAGTGTATATCGTATCGTACACTGAAAGGAAATCTTGTAATAGTTAACAAATGCATTTGGTTGAGTATTTCAGTACGAAATTTGTTGTAATTAATATTAAATATAATAATAGTTATCAATGCCTAGTAACAATTAAAAAATAATTTATGAAACAAATTCTTCATTTGGTTGAATCAAATGGTCTAGAGTAAATAATACTAATACTAAATAATCTGGTAATAATTACTCTAAACAGTTTGACTATTACCATTTGGTTATTTTGTATGTTTATCACATAATATAATAAATATCACTAAACAATATGATATTGCTTAACAAAATATTGGTCATTTATTTAACAAAATATTGATGATGGATTGAATCAAATGTCCGGTCACACACGTACCACATAAATTGGCAATAGTCATGAAATCTTAGCAACAGATATCAAGGCTTATAAAGATTATTTATTAATACTTACCAAATATTATTTGATTACATTTACTTATATGCACGTATATGCGTTTTATAACTGAAGCTATATCACCAAAGCATCTGATAACTGTTATCCAGACTTGATTTTTCACTCACCGAAAAAAGATTTGATAATAATATATCACACAGAAAAATACTCTTGTACTACTAAGAAAAGCCACTATTCAGTTTTTACTTTTGATTTTTTTTTTAAATAAAAATTAATTTTCTTATAAAAGTCTCTAAGATATACAATCAAATGCAGAAATTTAAAAAAATAGTTATATTTAACACGGAACACTTTTTTTATAATAATTTCGAAATATATTTGTCATAAATTTTAGAAAGACTTGCTATCACATGTAAAAGAAGAATTAATTTTCTTTAGAATATAAAATTTTATTGAAGAAAAAACTGATTAGACTCTATGTAATAAACAAATCGAATGTTTGTTTTAATTTAAAATTCTTGATAAAATGCTAAACATATTAGAATTCAGAACGTATATTGAATAAATTTGATATTTGTAACGCACTTTTTGTGACAGTTTTGCGAATATATAATCTTACGAAATACTTGAAACAAGCAATACTCTAATGCTGTATGTATTTTTCTGTGCGTAGCGCACGCAAAAATATGCGACGTTTATGTCGTTTCCAGGCGAGAGAATCGGGGTTGCATAAATTATAAGCACATTTCTCGTAGAACAACGTATCTATAATTATCTAACTTAGTCAGTGTCATATTTACAAGTACAATAAATATGTTAATACACGCGCGCCGTGTTAACGGTACCGTCGACGCGGCGCACTTTCATTTCGCGCTGGATATCCACAAGATTATGGCATTATGCGACTGCCGTAGAAGCACGAGCGCGAGGGGGGACCTCGAGTTCCTTAGGCGTCACCCGGGCGTCGCCTTCGTCTCAGTAACCTCGGTTCCCTCGGCTTCGGGTAGATGTATCCGCCGTCCTGATCTTGCCGTTGCGTGATCGCCTGCGGCGTCAGGAAGTAAAAGTGACCGACGTCGCCGGGCAATCGGTAGGCGAAATACGCGTTCGGGTTGTCGGAGCGGTTGTCTTGCTCCGGCACGGGCTCGACGAACTCGGCGTCGGGGTTGATGGGGGGACGCGGGTTCCTGAAGTTCACCTCTATGTCACCCAACAACGACACGGGAGGCCCATGCACTTCCTCCAGCTCCTCCCGCGACTCGGTGAGCGGTACGAAGTTGTTGGTGTGCCTGTTGCTGCTCGACTGCACTGTCCCTTGTACTCTGTAGCGAGGAGTCGGTCTGCGTTGTTGTTGTAGCCCTGCCTGATTCTGTGGCAGCCGATAGTTCTCCGCCTGTAACTCGTAGTTCGGCAACGGAGCCTGCTGCGGTCGAGACTTCGGCTCGAGCACCTTGATGAACTCGCTGTCGTGGTTAATCGGCGGCAAGGGTCTCCTGTAGTTCACGAGGGTGTCATCCTTGAGGGAGTACGGCCGTTGCGACTGATCTCCGTAGTGCACGTTGACGTTGGGTGTCTTGTAAGTGACTGGTCGGCCGGTCTTGTAAACGTTCGACACGTAGGCGTCCACTTCGGGTCTCTCGGTGATGCTGCTGGACTTGCCGTAGATCGGAGTGGTGCTCGATATGCCCGTGTCCGGCAGTTTCTTGCCGAAGATCGTGAAATACTCCTTCGTCACGTCGTCCAGCAGCTTCTCGTCCTGCTGCGTGAAGTACGCGTGCTGCGGATTGGGTGTCGTGTCCACGACGGAGGAGTAGCTGGTGCTCGTGGGATAGGCTATCGGACGTTGCGTCTTGTATTGCGCGTCCTTCCGCGGTGGCTGCTGCCGCGACGGGGAGTCGATATCTTCATAATCGTATTGTCGATCGCCGCTCTTGATGCCTCGGTATTCGCTGTAGGGGACGTTCTGCTCTTGTTGTCGCTGCTGCTGCTGCTCCCCGCGGTGGTACAGCCCCTGATTGCCGCCGCGCTTCGAATAATCCGCTATCTGGAAGCTGTACTGATAGATCGGCTTGGGTCTCGCGGTCGGTCGGTAGTACGACTGCGGTTTCGAGGTCGTGTAGTACGTCTCCAACGGGCGGTTCGGCCGCGCTTCAGATGCCGGTTGATAATACACGGGCGCTTGGTCGGCCAACATGCGTTGGCTTTGGCCACGTGGTGAACTGGGCTCGAACTTCGAGGACGTGACCGCCGAGTCGGTGTAACGGAAAGTCTGTGAGTTCTTTACGACGCCGTCGATGAGCTTCGCCTTGTAGTCTTTCGGCGTCTCAATTGGCGCGATCGTCTCCACCGCGTAATAGTGTTTTTTCGGGTCGGTCTGCCGAGATTGCGTCTCGACGTTATAATATGGCGACTCCGTAGTGGTCTTGTAGTAAACGGCCGATGGTTTCGACGTGACGCCCGAGTCCTCGTCGCTTGACTCCGCGTAGAAGTAGTAGGACGCGTGGTGGTTGGAGGACCTGCCGGGCTGGCCGGTGGTAATGATGCTCTTGATGGATGCCGGCGTCACCTCCACTGGTCGTTCCAACGACGACTGCGTGGTAGACGGGTAATACGCCAGAACCGGGATCGTCTTGCTGGTCACCAGAGTGGACCAGTCCTTCTGCTGGGTCGTCGCCTCGGACACTTGGTTGCTGTTCACGGGACCGATAGTGTACATCTCAGTGTTTTCGAGAGTGCTGGGCTTCGCGGGCGTTACTGTCGTCATCTCCACAACGGGCGTAATCCTCTGCTTAGGCGTGTAGGTGTTGGTCGCGTTCTTGGCGGTCACACGGCCGAAGGACATCTTCTCGCTAACCGTCGACGAGACAGTCGTCTTGGTCACAGAAGTCGGCAAGACCGACGAGCTTTTGTATCGCTTGGTCGTGAACTTCCTGGGTGGCAGATACGTCGGTTGGGGTCTCGGCGAAGGTGTGGTAGTCGGTCTTTTTGTGTACTTTTTCGTGGTCGTCTTCTTGTCGTCCAAAGCAGAGAAGAAATCCGGTGGCGGCGGTAATATAATGCCAGGCACCAGGGGACCCGGTGGTACAGCAGTCGTATTATCTTGCTGATAGTAGAAGCTATACGGCGGCGGGTAGTAGATGGACTGGTCCTCCTCGTCGTAATCCGATTGATTCCCCGGTGGCGGCACGAACACCGCACCCGGCGGTATAGCGTGATAAAACGGCGGGAAGCCGCTGGGTGGCTGGGTTTCCGGCCTCAGCCTCTTCTGCTCGTTGTTACCTCTTCTGGACGACTTCTCTTCGACGGAAAAGTTCTGTGGCGGGCCAAAGTCTGGACCCACTATCGTACCATTCGGAGTGATGGTGAAAAACGGATTCTCCCCCGGTAATAACCCCTTCGTGTAACCAGGTTCCGCGCCGTAGTCGAGCGTGCCGTTGTTGTCGACGTCGATGGTGCCGTTCGGGCCGATAATCTGTATCGGCCCTCCCTCCGTAAGTTGTACCGGAAAGGGCGGCGGTATCCTTGGCCGCGATGGGATCTTGACCTGTCGTCTGGGCGCCTTGTAATCGTCGATGGGCGGCCATTTCGGCGACGCGTCGTCGCCGCTGCTGCCTTGCTGGCCGTCTTCGTGTTCAGGAAATTTCCCGCCTCTCAGCACCAACACGTGGTTCTCGGCCAACCAGATCTCCTCCTCGTCGAGACCACCCAAATTGTCGGCCGTGTCCTTCGGCACTTCGGGATTGCCAAGGTAGCTGATGATACCGGGCCGTTTTGGCCGGTTCCCGTAAATCTCGTTCTGTATGAGGCCGTACTTGCCCTCCTTGACCTGCTGAGAGAGCGTTTTCTTCTCGTCCTCGTCGTCACCGCCGCCACCAGCACGAGCGTTTTTCCCCTCCTTGCCGTTACCGGCCGCCGACATGAGAATTCCATCGTCCCACAGGGACTCATCGCCCCGGAGTTTCGTGTCGATTCTCAAGTGACCTCCGATCAAATGGTGGGACACTTTCCTTCCGGGTTCCGCGGTGATCTCGTTGTTCGCGCTGCTCGATGATTTTGTGCTCCGGCTGTCCGACTCGTATACCTTGCCCGATCGATGACTAGATACCTCGGTACCGACGTGCCTCCTGTCTCTGTTCTTGAACGACTCCGCGATCGTCGCGCATATCGCTATCAGCGTTAGGGCCAGCAGTAGTCTCCGCACAAATATTAGATGCGTCATCTGAAAGTAGCAAGCGCTCGTATCATTTCCCAATCATACTTCAGACTTTCATGCGTGCATGAAGCAAAAATATTGCTGAATCAATAAAATTGATCGAGGCCCGTTGTTGGAACATATCTTCTTGATTCAATAATAATTCAAACTAATACTCGAGTTATTAAGGTAGTTATATTATAAAACAAGTTTCGCGAGAATTTAATGAAATTCACACTACGTACACGATACAATATCATCTAACTGCTTGTGCAATTAGAACAAGATGACTATTCGAAAACTAAGATATATGCAATTAAAATTGATACTTTTCATATGTGTTCTTTGAGGTTACTACGCACTGAGAATGAACACTTGAAAATTTATTTATGAGATATAAAGTTTATTTATGCGAAATGAACTTTATTTCTCTGTGAATAAACTTCATATTCTACAAATGAATCTTGGAATATCTTTTTCTCAGTGTGCTATTTTTAATTTCCTTTTTTAATGTCTTCTAAATTATATGTGAGATTTTGATGAAAAACTATGATATTAAAGATTAATATAAACATTATGCGCAAATTACAGAATTATTAACTATTTTCGTTTTCAAAAAACAATACTCTTTTTATTATTCGGATATTTAATGTTAGATAAACTAATTCATAAATAAAACACTCATCAGATTTTTTTGTATTTGTAATATTGCGTATATATATATTTGTCTTAATTTCGCCTCAAATTAACAGCGATATTTAGTGAAATAAATGTATATAAATATAAATTTGTTTAATAAATAATAAATTTATGAATGGATCCTTTGATGCGTCGTTTTTTTAAGACAACTTCACTTTAAAATAAAGACATCATATATTATCTTAATAACTCGAATATTAGATTCAATAACATTGTTATTGAACCAGGAAGATTTATTCTATTGATTCAATAGTATTTTTTTCTGCCTGTCTTTTTAAATCAAACCATATATGTCACGCCCACGTGTCTGAGAGTAAAACGGAAAAGTGTAGCCTCGCGCATACCTTGAAGTATACTTTATTACGCGCACCAAGTCCACTAATTAAACTGCGGCGCTTTATTCTTTACACTTCGTGAAATAATTTCTGCGTTTAATAGGTCAGTAAAAGACTCGTTGCGCAGCGTATCGAACAGTTTGTTGCTCACAATGACCGGAATTACATTCATAGTCGGTGGGTAGACGCGCGCGCGCGCGCGATTGCCAGCGTATGTCAAGGATCTAATTGCGCAAGTGGAGTACCAATTAAGTATCAAGTCACGAGCGAGGAGTATGTTTATTCGCTTCTTAGCTGAAATACTCCGCCGGCATCACGATTTAGTCTCGTGGGAAGTAGAAATTCGTCACCGGCATCGTCTGCCATCTCTGTTACCGTGACTCGAGGTGTAAAATTACCACCAGATTCAAAGTGACCATTATTTACAGTAAAATTATAGTAAGATAATTATTAATTACGGTAAAAATAAGATAGTAATTTTGATGAAATTCATTGTTTTTGATAGTCTCATGCACGGATATTCGTGTTTTCCGTACTAATGCATAAGATAAAACAATATTCTTCTTATATTCTCCTCAAATATATATATATATATATATATATATATATATATATATATATATATATATAATATCTCAGAAATGTCCCTCAAATGAAAGAAAAGAAACTATTTATACAATCCTTTGAGAATATTAAAGTTTTCATTTCTTAAAATATTACTAAAAATATTCAATTATACACCATAGTCTAGTCGCTGAAATAGGAAAGCAACAAATAAAAATGCTGTAAGTCTGTAAGATGGTATGAAAAATATAAATTGACACTTTAAAAATCTTTTTTAAGTTTCTTTAGTTATTGTGTACTTAGTTTCCTAATTATTATATGCTATATAGAGTATATCAATATATAGTATTGAAATATTTTATGGAAAATATGAATTAAATAAAGTCTTACTCATTTTAAAGGCTAAATTTTTTTTTAGCTTTATACTAAGTTTTTTGAGTTTTATATTTAGTTTTTTTTTATTTTGAACTTTATACTTAGTTTTTTATTTCTATAATTTTTTCTAAATTATCATTTTATCAGCTTTCCAAAATCGACAGAGTAAGTTACCGTGGGTCATTTTCATTTCTAACTGTGACAAACTGCCGACTAACTGTGTTAGCACATAAAAAAAGAACATTTTTGTTTGGAAAACATCTTTATTTTTGACATGTTAATCTTCAAATAAAATTACATGGCGTTAAATTAAATGAATTTATCTGCAAGAATACATTTTATATGATTCAACAAGAATTTTATCATTCAAAAATAATTTTCCTTAATGGGAAATGCAAAGGATAGAATTGGGAATATGACGTCTTTAAATGTCGGAAGATATCATGTTATAATCAAAATAATTATATTGCACTTCTTATATGAGACTCTCTCGTGTAAGAGTCTTCTCACTTATATAAGAATATTGTAACTCTGTTACAATATTCAAACAAAATTGCAACATTATTGCGATTCGAGACTTCAGAATTCTTCTAAAGGAATTATATCGTTGCTTATACGCGAAACAATGATTATACATTTAACAATGATTAATTTGAATATATTGCTTGCAAGTGAATACTAATCTTTCTCTTGTGTGCAACGTCGGCGGAAGCAAGTGAGCGACTTTGAGACATTTGAGAGGCCGCGTCGGGACGGGACGCGATTCGGTTCGCCTCCCACGACTTCGCCCGCGAATTTCGAGAACTCTGACTCGATTCTACCGCCGCGGATCGCAGTGATACGGGAACGCGATATTGAGGGGGCTGCCACGCCTTTCTCTGGCCTGGCGAACAAGCCGGTGAACGGTCGACAAACATTCACGGGTCACTGGAGTACTGGCCGACTCGTAATGACTCGCGACTGAGTAACGAACCGGCGCGAACGGTTTCTGTAGGTGGATAGATAGGTTGGTAGGCAGACAGGCAGGCAGGCAGGCAGGCAGGTAGGTAGGTAGGTAGGTAGGTAGGTAGGTAGGTAGGTAGGTAGGTAGGTAGGTAGGTAGGTTTCCGTGCATTAGGTTCGCAATGCATTAGTGTCGAATGCAAGCATTGCTGCAATGTACAGCCGTGCAAGTTTGCGGAAGTAACGCCAGCGCGAGCAACACGATAGCGCGCTTCCGACGCACACGCGGACGTCGTATTTTGTCTATCTCCGCATTTTTTCTGAAAAGAAAAAAGAATCCGTAACTTCCTCTCGTTTATCCGTACGTCAATCTGACGACACATCCTACGTCGTCATGATGGGCTCATGGTCGATCACTCGTCGCCGAGCCTCGCGTCTTCCGATATAGATAAAAAAAAGTTACATAAACACGATATTACGCGGAAAACAGTAATATATTTGCAATAAAAATCACACAGGCTCGCCTGTAACCGGTGTAGAATAACAGAAGAGCTTTTTTATAAAATCCACTATCTATATGTGGAAAATTTCTTGGGATCTATCTGGCATCCAGATCAATTGCTCAAAATGATTGTGGCTACATATTTTTACGTGGTGGAAATTTCTCTAACATTCTCAAATACAACACAGATTCCGATCAGATTGTCAAAATTTGTTCTAAATCCAATTTGTTCTAAATCCAATTGGAATCTATAACGATTTCCCAAATAATTGAAGTTGTGATTCCAAATAGGAAATCTAAAGGCGAAAGAAAAGTTACATAGAAAGAATGAGAAGAAGAAAGGAAGGAGAGAATAAGGAAGTAATAATTAAGTATATTTATAATCATGATGTGTAGAATTATAAGATCTGTTCTTTTTAAAATACAGGCCGTTGTATGATTATTCTCATAATTTACCGACTGTGAATTGCAAATAATCATAATATTCTCGAATGCAATGTTAAAATTTTTTTACATTTGAAATAAAAATATAATATATAAAATGTTTTATTCAAGACATTTATAATTTACTTAAAAAAGAAGTTAAATAAAACATTTGAAACATTTGGAGTGTTTATGTTTTTTAAGTATTTATACTTGTAAAATGTGCACAAATATATTTAAAGCGATACAGATATTTTGTTCAACATAAATGTAACATATAGAAATTGAAAAAAAAGAGAACTCTGAGAAAACGTTCGATAAAGAAAATAGAATTTATTTGAGTTTAGAATTATATTTTTAAGACATTACACTTCTAGTTCAAATCTTCGTAGATTTTCTAATTAGAACTCGTTATTTGAGGTGGAGGGGGATCCCAATTAGATTCGAGAAAATTTTTTACGCGGACTTTTTATAAAATTCACATCCTGCACTAAAAATTTCTTGGAACGCTATAATTGAAATCCAGCTCAATTTCCCAAAATAATTATAGATTCTGGTTAGAAGAGTAATATTTGTGTAAACGTGTGTACGATTCTGTATGGAAACTCAATTTCCTAGTTTTATTTTTTCCTTTTACATTAAAATTGGACAAAACATATGTTGACATTCCAAATAATTTCATTACACAGTAAAATAATCAAATTATTTTAAAAATATTAAAACATATTTTATTTTCTTTTATTTTCCATTCTACTAAATAAAATAATTATATTAAAATAGTATAAAAATGAGATTTTTTTGTTTCACACTAAAGTATCGACGCTATTGATTGGAAAAAGAGCGCAAGTTCCCGTAGTATTTCTGTTTTGCGAAGGGACTTTGTTCCAATAAACATCACTCTCATGTCTCTGTTCCGGTTTTAACAGAAAACTCATATTTGGGGTAAGAATAAGATTTCCAATTGGTGTCGTAGTGGGATAATGAATTTTTGGGCAAATTCGGGCATTCTATTAACTGAAATCTATGCTGTGTCAGGAGAAATCTTGAGAGATTTCTATCCGGCGTCAGCAAAATCAGATCACTCGTGAACTCTGAATCGAGCTTAACCCATTCACATCAGAAGCGGATATGTATCCGCTCGTTTCACCTGGTTATTATCGCGGAAGCGGATATATCGATAATCGAGATCAAATCACTCCACATCATGCGCTTTTCATCTGTTTCATTACACATGACGTCGATCTGGAGAAGTAAAACATTTTTGTCGATCTCCTAATGATGCAAACGAGTTGATAAATGCGAAATCGAACTGTACCTTTCTCCGCGCATCCGGAACCGTACGACAGGCGTTTACCAGGAACGCCGGTATATGTCGCAGAATTGCTGTCATTAAACCACCGTCTCGCATGCAACTATTCTTCCGCTTCTTCCGAGCACTCGCGAGGTGACCAATCCGGGGATACAGACGTAAGGTGCCTTTACGTGAGCGCGCCTCGATTTCTCCGCGTCAAACAGCTACTTAATTATCTGCGCGGAGCTACGTGACACGATATACCTCACGTTTATCCACGTGAGATATCAATGAGACACGCAATGCACGATCTCTCACATACACACACATACACCGGTGGTACGTGGCCAAAGTCGTCAGCGTGTCCTTAACATTCCCATAAGCGATACACCGCGCGATTCATCTGGAACGTTGCTCGCGTGTTTTCAAGTATTCCCCTGTGCAGCTCACCGATTTTCATAATCACTGACTACTTAGAAAGTCATCTCGGGAAGCATTCAATGAATGCTTGTGGTCCTGAGTGTCTAGGTCGTAATCGACTTAGCAAAATCCTCGCGAAATCGTTCCTGTGGCTTTATTTACACGAATTCTTCAGTATACATGTTCCAACTAGTGTAATTTTCTATTAAATCATTTTAATGATTGAAGATTTATTATTTATTACACTGATGCGTGTAAACGACGGTATATTTAATTGATACGTTACGTCTTCTTGTTGCGTATTGTACGACACTTGTTGCGTATTGTATTGTACAACACACCGTTGTTTGTGCAGCGTCGATATTAAAGTATTTAAAATAAAGTTTAATATGTGTATCAAACTGCACTGATCTACAAAAAAATCTTTTTTGGCATACAGATTAAATTATCTGATTTATATAATATCTTATAGTATAGTATTTTTGCGTTGAATTAAAAACATAATGATATAAACCAAAAAATCCCCGTTGAAATTACCAGAATTTTATTCGAGTTAACCAAAAATCTTTTTACTTGGACAGAATTCTGATAGTTTCAACGAAAATTTCTGGCTCGTTTATATTTCACCAGAAATTTTGTTGATCCAAACTTTTCTTCCGTACGATAACTAGCTTTTCTCAAACTCGCGATAAGTGTATCTTGAGACTATTGTCACGAAGATATTCTTCGCTGAATATAAGCATTACTTAAAGGCAGAAGAGCAATTTTCTGAGTAATTGCTCTTCTTTGCAGTGGCACGATATTTCTCTGTGCGCAGCAATGAGTATTCTCATTGTAAATATGAACGAAGCAGAAAACCCCGGTTTTGAAGTTACCAGAATTCTGTTCGAGTTAACCAGAAATTTTGTTAACTTGAACAAAATTCTGGTAGCTTTAACGAAAATTTCTGGCTCATTTCACCAAAAAATTCCTTAATCCAATCAAATTTTTTTCCCTTGTGAACTTTTCTCAAATTCGCGTTGAGTGTACCTTGAGATTATTGTCACGAAATTATTCGTCGCTGAAGATAAGCATTACTCAAAGACAGGGAAGCGATTCCCGAATAATTGCTCTTTTTAGCAACGAATATTTTTCTGCGCGCAACACCGTATTCTCTCTCTCTCTGTCTTGCACTTTCGACGTGTCTGACCCGGCATCGACACCTTCGTCACGCACTCACTCCGATCGGCTTGTCCCACGACTTTGCACACTCACTCCCCGACATTTAAACCGACGCTGCCCACACGATGAGCGCCAACTAACGGCCCGCCTTATCGAAGACCATGGCTGCGTGCATTTCGCGAATTCCGGATTCTTTTGAAGAGCTACGCGCGATTTCGACGCGCATCGCGCAGATAAGGCACGCACCAGAAACGATCTTTCTCGCGTCTTCAGCTGCGAGTTCTTCAAGTAGATGAGCGTTCGCCAAGGTGACGCACGCGCTAACGAGCCGGTGATAAACGGCTACGTGTTCTCGATATTCTGATCGGCACACACGGGGTCGGACAGAACCGCGGCGCGACCGCTCGAACCGGCATGGTACACGTGACTGGCGGATTTTCATCACCCTCTCCCGGTGCACCGGGTCCGCCAAGGACGCTAGTTGGGGAAGGTGGAGCCGTTTCCATCTAGGCGGCGGCGGCAGCGGCAGCGGTGATACGGCACGGCCTCGCGCTGGAAAGGAGGAAGTCGTGCGGTGTGTACGTACGCGTACGATCCGTACGATTAACGATCGTAATTAGATCGGCGCTCCATGCACCGAGCATTATTCCAGCGTGGCTGATTACCGAGGATGTTTTACGCGCGACTGTCCTCGCGCGAGGGACACGTAACTCGGAAAATACGCGTGTAAGCGTGACCGCCGGCCCTTTCACTTCTAGGTGATATCGCGCTCGATTTGCCCGCTATTTTTCCTTTCCTCCGCTCTTCCACTTCTTTTCTTCGAGGGGCGACACTCACGTGACGCGCGGCGAAAGAATCGCGTGATATTTGTCCGGGTGATCCACAGTAGACGCGATTGGCCAATCGCGTCCGGTAACAAAACCTTTTGTATCGGCGCGCTTTTTAGCCGGCGCGCGCGATACTCATAAATCAACTCATAAACCGCTTCCCGTCTGCGCAACACGCGATTCCCGCGATTCTCGGCGAAACTCGTCGAATGGCCAATTTCCATTCGACGAAATTGCGATTTCAAAGTGAATAACGAACACCGAAAATGTCGATCACAATAAAGGGATCGTGGAAATGTTCTAGCAGATCACCACAAACACGATCACGCTACCTTTTCGTATTTCCTATTTCGTGTTTCATCTTTTTGTATTTCCTTGTGCATATATAGATCTTGTGCATACATAAATACTAATACGTTGCTTTGTATTTTCTTTTGTGGAGAACAATTAAAGGGATGCCATATTTGAAAAAACTAACAAAGTAGGAACAGAAAGATTCCCACAGGAGGTTTCCACTCAACCAATTGTTTTATTATCTCATCTAAGTTTTAACTCAATCATATATTTTATTTTTCGGTGAAGTTTCTTTAAGTTTAGTACGTTCGGGACCGCTAATTACGAATTTGAAGTCAAAAGTTAAAATTCAAAATGGCGAGTGCAATATAGCGACCATAAATTTTCAAAATTAATAATCTTTTTTTAGCATTATCCGAGAATAACGAAATATTTCGTTAACATGAAAAACAAATGTTTTATATATTGTTTCTAGTAGCAAATGCAATTTTTATTCAGAAAATAGTTGAAATAGGATGATATGGACGAGATAAAGTTGGCCCATAATTAAACTTTAGACTACCAGGAAAGCCACTTTTGTGGCTCTTGAGTTTGCGTTAAAATACTACTATTTTTAGTAGTATTTTAAATACTAAATATATTAAACATGTATGTGTGTATGTAGCCTACGCAATGCGTGTCTCTCCGGTGCCTTCGCGCTTGTTCACACTTACGTCGCCGAAACATATGCACTAATTATTATGCATAACATCCTGCTTTGAAAATTATCATTTGAAAGAAATTTCTATCATAATTACGGAAAAAATTCAACATAAAAAAAATCATAAAATGTATAAAAAATATAAATGCTGAAAAAAAAATTAAAAAAATAAAAAATATAAAAATCAAAAAGTTATAAAACAAGCAAAAAAGTAAAAAAAAAATACAAAAATTAAACATTAGAAAAACCAAACAAAATAGACTCTGCATGAATCTATACGTTTATATTTATTTATTTTGTCAATATTGCGCTTAGGACTCGAAATTTCATAAATCTATGCTCAGATTGGAATCAGCGATACTAAATACACTATTTTTGAGAAAATAAAAATTTTCTATATTTGATCTTGCGTTTTCTGCCGGGAAAGCCATTTTTGTGGCTCTGTATAAATCTAAAAATTCTGCGCTATATGTATGTTATTTATATAGAAAAATTTTTTAGAAGAAAACCACTTTTTTAATGAAAAAATACCGATAGCCTAAAGGGCCGGCAGGAGAACTGGGGAGACCTTTCGTAAGGACTCTGTAAGAATTAAGCCTGATCTACAATATGCTCTTTGCATTTTGTTTCTTCTCATCTGTCTTTTTCTAGTTTAAAGCTTAAGATGTGAATCAGAAAGAAAAAGAAACAAGAAGCAAATAATACGTTGTAGATCAAGCTTTAGCTGCCCGAGAAGTTGTAACTTCGAAATTCTAAAATATAGGGCATCTAATCCCATTCTTCCTTATTATTCCTCGTCAGCGAGTTTTTCGTTTGGCCTCCACTCAGTTATCCGAACTGAAATTGTTTTTTTCCGTGTAGTGATACACCGCTTCTCCACGTTATCGGCATTTTTGGGGTTCGTCGTCCACTTCCACTTTGGCGATCGCTTAAACTGCCAGGATCGCATGGCCTGCGTTCTGAAAGTTTCGCCGTTCGTTCGAGTTGTCGGAGGAGATACTCGGGGCAATCGTTCCCTACGTACCTGCGCGTTTAGCACGTAATAGCTTTGTAGGAGAGATATTGCAAAACAGGGACCGGCTGTACGTCGCCAAGGTGGAAGCGGCGGTGGCGGCGGTCTCGCGCGCGCGCCCGTATTCTCGCGGTTCCGCAAGACGAAAGTCGAAGGATTTTTCGAGGCGTGATGCAAGACAGCCGCGGTGTGCCCGCCAAGCGCGGCAAGTGCCGTTACGTTTGCCTCCAGCAAACGTGGGACCTGTTCCAATAAAAGGTGTTCGGGGACCAGATTTCGCGCGGCTACGACGGGCTCGGCGGATCGCTTCGATCTCACTCGCGCCGTCAAATCGGAAAAAGTCGGAAACTAGTTCTCCAGATAGACCTGGCGCAAGAACGATTACGACTCTCACGCGAGTGCTCCACCTGGAAAAGACTCGGTTTCCTTAATTATTGCTTTTTCCTCCTCGTCTCGCCGTTTACCGCGACTTGGTACGCGCAGGAGAGAGCCGGATCAAACTGATAATCGTGCGAACGTAATTTTCCGATCTTATTAATATCGCGCGCCTAACGGATGCCGACCTTGGATGCGGTCCATCAAAGGCGTCCACGATTAAACGGCATTGAGCCATCGCACTGGTTCCGCGAGAGTGAAAGGTCGGGGTTGCGGAACGATATCTTTGTAAAACGGGTCGTCTAGCGTGCGATTCATCGGACATCATTCGTTTCATTAGTGCAATAGTTCCGACGAGAGGAATCCGGGACGTCGTCGCGTCGCTACTTTAGCTGAAAGACAGAGTAAAATGTTCATTAGCCGATACTCCACCGCAATTTTCTGCAATCCTGCACGGATTTTGTCAAATGTGTCAAGGTGTACGGGGATTTATCAATTATTTCCTAATCCTCCACTGCCAAAATTAATTTCTCATGTTCAAAAATGTTTCATATACATAGGATATTTGAAATTAAAATAATCAACACATATAAATGAAAAAATGATGAAAGTTTACTTCTCTAATTTATTTTCTCAAAATAATAGGCTTATCAGTCGAAATAGGTCTAAGGTCTAAGGTCACGTTAGGCAATTACTATTGCTATCAAAACACTAAAAAAAAGGCAACCAAATATTATAACTTTCATATCACATTGACTAAGGAAACAATTCATATTGGAGATAAATAATTATGAAACTGGATTGTGACTTCAGAGTCACAGTGAGCAATAGAAGGTTAATTATGATAATTATTGACTGTTATTAATATACGGAGAGAATTTTGTAGTAGAAGAATTTTATAATCGAGAAACAGATCGATATTCCGCAATAATTCACTATCCTTTCATGCTCTCGAAATCTTTTGGAGTGGAATCTTACCCAAAAGCGTGTGAGAAGTCATAGTATTTTCAATAGCAGCAGTGGAAGTCTCAATTGTTGATTTGCTGATTATTTTAATCAAAGAAAACTTTAATCGATTAATACTCATCACTGCTAGAGAAATATAATAAAATTGAAAAGAATTTTTTACGAAAAAACTATAATTTTTTCTCCACACACACATAATATTATTACGATATTTTACAATTCTTAATAATATCATTAACTATATCGGAGATATAGTTATAATTCCAATATTTGCTAATTATTAATATTTATTAATTATCACTTATTTATTTCGTTCTTAAATCTCATTCATCTTAATGAAATCCGCGCAATAATGCCAAAAACAGCACTGAAAAAAGATTTTATTGTCGAATCGAAAATTTGGTACGCCGCATTAAAATTTCATTAAAATTGGATCAACCAAATGTTTAGCAATTGCAACCAAACAACTTAATTGTCGCTCATATGTCTTGCTTTCTCACCAAAACATTCTACTTGATACAAATAAAAAACATACTAATGCCAAGTAAATCGTATGTACAAAAAATTTTTATTCGAAATACAAAAATAATTGTTCCATTAAGGCAAAGCACCGGCCACTGAATGTTTTATCAGATCATCTCTGTCGGAAATGCGTAATTTTTGCTTCCCCCTTGTCCTTTCATTTTCTTCGAAAACATGATTGAGCAGAAGATATCGATTCCTGTGTAGTCCACGGTCGCCTCTACGCTGACTAGAATATCGCACGAGCGGCACGTAAGACCCGCGCGGATCTACCGTTATTCAATCGAGTTTACGCTTTCAACTACTTTCCTTTTTGTTTCGCGTTGTGCTCGCTGAACAGCATTAATTCCCCGACGCTGAGTGACTTGCGGCGTGTCGCTCGCATAACGATTTTACATGCACGCGTTGAAAGAAACTCGGAGGGGGTTAACGTTAGGAGGCCAGACCAATATAACGCTTTGAAACAAAACATATTTTTGGGAATTAATTTTGCGAAAATGAATCAATCAACTGTTTTGAAACATTGTATATTAATTAAGTAATT